CACCTCCACTGGCCGTAAAGCTTCCCGAAAAGGCCTCGAAAAGGCCCACAGACCACCAGTTGATAATCGCAGTTGTAGCTTATTTTGCGGCTCTGGACAGAAATGTCTCTTTTGACTGTAAACKTTGCAGACCCCTGGTCTAGTTATTAGTGCTGCAGGATATCTGGAAAACCAGTGATGAGTGATAACAGGTCTTATTGCTGCGATGATGATATAAATGAACAAATTTACGAGTCTCTGGGTTCAGAGCAGAAAAACAACTGGAAAACATCATTTCCATTCCGACACGACAGTTTTATTTAGAAAAGGTTCAGCCAGAACCAGCTGCCGTGTTAGCAGTGAAACAACAAGCAGTTTAATAAGTGAGAGTTTAAAATAAAAGTGAACCAACTTAAATCCAGCTGTAAATTCTCTCCTCGCAGCTGTCCAACGTTGTCTCCACTGTGGTTTTGATTTGTTTTTATCTCAGGTTCATTTTGTTTATCAGACTGACGCAGAYAGAGCACATCAATGAAAACATTTGAGTCGAACATTTATCGCAGTTTATGCATTTTTTGTGACTTCCTATTGCACAAGTTGTTACGTCAATGGTGTGAGATTACAGATTTATTGTGCAGCTCCAATAGTTATACTATTTTAGCTTTATAACTGTATTATTATATTATATTATTATGTTTAACAGTTATTTAATGTACATATAAATAACAGAAGAAACACGTGTGACCGTGTGATCGGCTGGTGAAGCTAACGGCTAACGCTAAACAGTCAAGAGTCTGGGTTTCCCATTACTGTACATGTTGACAACAGAGCAGAAAAACAGGACTGATGATGTAGAAATCATTAAAACTATTAATAATAATATTAACCCAATTATTATTAATATTTTACAGTTTATATAATCTATCTAAAGTTTTAAATAATGTCAGAAAAGCTGTTTGTGTTATGTATTTATGAACAGAAGATAAACAGGAAAACGTCTCATTTTACAACAAGTCAGCAGATTTGATCTTATTTAGCTCAATGTGATCTGAGCAGAACATAATGTAACAGTTTAAAATTAAAATAATCTGATAAAATCCATGTAATCACTGTTTTTTATTAGCTTGTGGAGCATATATACAGATTGTAGCAGCTTGCTGAATCATGCTACAATTTAACAAAATATTAAATATTACAGCTGGTTTGTCGTCTGATTAATATTTAGACCTACAG